GGAGTCGTTTTGGACTCGTTGGCAGCTGCTCTTTCCCTTTCTGTACTGTAATCTCCATATTCTCAGTATTACTGTTCCATTGTTTACTGTTCATCTCTTCATTTTCACTTAGCTCGCTTTCCTCACGAATTGGTTGAAAACCAGCTGGTAGAAAGCTTCCAAAGGTTAACGGAGTTATGGTTTGCATCTTAGAGTTCACCGGCATAGTCGCACCGGCCACCGGCGCTGCTTGCTTGCGTCTCCTAGCCATCAGAGGTGCACGTTAGCCTGCCTTGGCTTATCGTGTGCCGAGAGCATCTCTATCTAAGCGTTATATATTTTCTTTTAAAATGTGTTTATACTCATCCGTTACTGAATTGTTTATACAACGGTTTATAACCGTTGCCATATTATTTAAAGAAACACTTGTGTAAGTTGTTGCTACGGTTATGTTGGATATAGCAATGGTTTCTTTAAGCTATCGTAACGGTTACATTTGTATTTGGAACGGTTTGTAGATCATATAGCAACGGTTTCTTTAAGCTATCGTAACGGTTACATTTGTGTTTGGAACGGTTTGTAGATCATTTTAGAACAGTTTATGGGATCTATGGCAACGGTTTACATTGCCTACTGGAACGCCATTTCTGTCCTATTGCAACGGTTCTGGTAGGCTATTGTATCAGTTCAGTTAAAACCAAAATATAGCACATGTTATAAATAAATATTTATACATATAATAAATTATAATAACACTAAAATTTAAATACATCATAGAATGAAACTATTAATAATACAAAATTATCCATCAAGCAAAAATATCCATAAAGCAAATGTTCAACCTCATGAGTGCATAAGTTTAGTACATTTCAAGAGTGTAAATAAGTTTTAAAAAATGTTGGTAACAAAAGATTCCTAGAACATTCATCGATAACAATTCAAAATTCATCTCAAGTAAGGTCTAGTTCTTCATCATCTTCATCATCCATTTCTTGATCTACTCCACCTACAAAAGAGGATAAATAAAGTTATTACCCTTCAAGAGAACCCGGTCTAAAAATACTCAAGCATTTAAATTCCAGATAAGATACTGATCATATTGGAGTTTCTATAGGCTTAAACAAGGGAGATCCTTGTCCATGGGTATTGTCTGGTGCTTCATAGTTCATATTCATCATAGCACATTATTGCGGTCATTGTCATTCTCATTTCCATTTCACAACAGAAGAAGATAACTAAGGCAACTAAAAATTCAAAATGTTAACAATAAAAATCATAACCGTCCCCACCTTAATCATCAGAATGATTGGAGTTTCTTTCACTGAGCATAATCCATAAACCACCATATCACGAATTAACCAGAATTAATTACAACTTCTAGTACTATGTATTTTAGCAGCCACGATAATTAGCACCAGCCCACCAAATGAATGAGTAGGTATTAATTTTCTTAAAGTATAGCCTATCCAGTGTTCCATATATATTTTATAGACAGATAGTAAAGATCGGTCGCCAAATGACCAAAAGGAAGGATGTCAACTTTCAAATACATAAAAAAGAACCAAAAAAAGGGGGAAAGGAAGATCACTATAAATCAACCTTTTCCTAAATCAACCCAACAAGCAAACACCACAAAAAACTTCTACTTGTACAATGCATAACATCCAACAGTAAAGAGCTCTCTCAAATTAAAGCCTGGAATATCTATTTATTAGCGATAGCAAATGTGTAAAAGGAAGAAATTAATCAGATTCAGTTGATAGCCAGTTAAAACCAGGTTAAACCATTGATGCTGATAGTCCAGAAGCTGCAATCATTCGGAGTTTATTAATGTAACTACTAATTGTATTATGAGTTTTAACACTGCAGGCATCAGCATCAAAGGTGCTACAAGAAACTTGCAACTATATAAGAAATTTGAATAGAGAAGTGGATGATCTTAGTGGTCGTCTTTCTCAATTACTCTCAACCATTGATGCTGATAGTCCAAAAGCTGCAATCATTCGAAGTTTATTAATGTAACTACTAAATTAATCAGATTCAGTTGATAGCCGGTTAAAACCAGGAGAAACCACCTTATCCAAAAAAAAAAAGAATCAGAAGAAAAGCATATTTTATTGTCTCAAATAGAGTTGACTAGTATTACAAAACTTATTGCAGTTGAACATATCATGATCCATACTACAAAGGGTTATTTGCAAGGTTGAGATGAGCAAGATTGGGAAGTTGACATATAGAAGGTGAGATTTCACCAGAACGATTGAAACTTTGGAGGTTAATAGTAGAGATAGAAGATGTACAAGTGATACCAGTCTAACTAAAGCTCTAAGAAGAAATAGAAGAAGATGTATAACATTTGGTACGTATTGACCTTGATTGTTACTACCAGCAGATGGTCGACTGTTTAGTTGAACAGCAGCTTGTTGTGCAGAGGAAGCATCTACAGGTGAACGTGCACTGAACCTTAACATGTCAGGATCAAGTCGCAAATCTGGGTTCAGACGCTGAAGTCGTGCGATGACGTTCATTGTAATATTTTGTTCCATAGCATCTTTTTGTTTGTTCAACTTTTCATGCATTCTTTGTTGCATCCTCTCTTCCATTTCCTCTATTTTCTGCTGCATCCTCTCATCAGCATCTGAAGAAGATCCAAGATTCCCTTTTTTCCCTTTTAACAAAGTCTTGGTAGCCCCTCGTTCATACAATCTCACGCGACCTGGATGTTTAGGTCCCATGACTGATGCAAAAACGTCAACTGAATGACTGCCATCTTCACTTTCCTGAGTTGATTGAATTCTCTCCATTTCAGCCTGCAAACCAAATGCGAGAGAAAAGAGTTTTAAGTAACTAAAATTGAATCAATAATTAAGAACAAATAAATAATCACGACAAACTTTAAATTAGAAATTTCGTACAATTTTATCAATTGTATTGTCATATGAGCTTTTGTATACTCGGCCAAGTTTCTTTTTCTTGTAGCCACAAAGATGTCCTTACTTGACAGAGTATCTGACAAATCGGAGAAAGCCACATTACTCAACCCATGCAAGGATTTAAGCAAGTACAATCGAATAGTGAAACTCAGTTTACTGAAATTTTCACACCCCGGATATAACTCTTGTTTTCCTTCCTCCAGCAATTTGAAAAACTTCTTTGCATCTTCAGATAGTCTTTCCCCAACTCCTTCTTCATCCCCTTCCTGACCCTCTATATTTCTAAATGTATCATGAAGTAGTCCATCAATATCGTCCCGCATAGTAGAACCTTCATCATCATTGCTTGGATGAGGTGTATTTCTCGAGGAAAAATCTTCCACGTGGAAAACCCATTTGGTATAACCATCAACAAATCCATGAACAACTAAATAATCCTCCACCACATTTTTATAATACCAATAGCGATTCATGCACTTTTTGCAAGGGCATAATATTTCATTTTCTTGGGCGGCTCGTTCAAATGTCTTATCAAGAAAATCATTCACTCCACGGATATACTCATCCGTCCATCTCAGGAGATTCATCCAAACTTTTATCACCATTATCCATAGATATCCTATACGATAAAAGTAAATCAAGAAAACTAACAAAATAAACCAAAAGCATATTAATTTGACTCAGGAAAATACTCAAGGGAATTAATGGAAAACAAAGGCTATGGATTCTTCTACTGCCTGTATGTTGACACTCGCTAATGACACTTTGCAATCTGTTAACGTGGGAGATAGCGGGTTTGTAGTGATCAGAGACGGGGTAATTGGGTATTCTTTTATTGTCCATTGGTCTCTTGTTTTGATGGTATTGTTCTGCTTTTCTTAGTGTTTGTCAAGTACTTTGGATTTCTTCTTAGAATATTAATGTTTCCCAATAGTATCTTTTATCAATGTCTAGTTATGTTGTATTAAACCTGCCTGGAGTTGCTACATAGCCGGATAGTTTTGACCATACATTCAGAAAATTTGCTACATAGCCGGATAGTTACCATACATTCAGAAAATTAAATAAGAAATAAGTTATCAAAGCATTAACAACAAGACCACTATAATAATAATTAAGTAAATAAAATTGGGTCTTAATCTTAAATAGTTTAAAGTTTTAGATAAATTAGTAACAGATTTAAAAAAATCCTACCTAATATCTGATTCACAACAGCTGCTATGTCTTCCACTGAACTTAACTTGCAGTGTTCTTCTAGCTACCTGCACATTCAAACATTAGAGACAACCAATAGTCTATGTAAACATCCGTATAATTGGGTATTTTATTACAATAAGCCCATGAGAAGACCCATGAATCAAACATTAGAGATATATATGAACTACATCATCATAGAATGTGCTATTAGTTTTTCTCTCCATTCTGACATAGACCAGTAGTAAGCAACAGTATCCTTCAACCAAAATGTTCAGCGTGATGCAAAAGAGCAAAATCACAATATGGTTCTTCGGCCATCACCATACATAGAATACATGTACCATTTCAAATTTGTGGAAATAACTGGAAGATAATCTCCATTTAGAAAATAGGATCATCCTTATTTAATAGTACTCACACAGTTTTTACTAATCTACAAGGCAACTGGCATAATTTCAGCTACTATTTAAGATAGAAAACCAATAGGCAAGCAGACAGTTAATGGATAAAAAGAAGCTGCCCCTATTAAACCCAAAAAGTGATTGAAGAATGGAAACATCATGGCAATTACTGCTGTTACTATAACATATGCTGTCCTCCGCAACAACCTGAAAAAGTTTACATAGTAAACAGACTTTTTTACCCTTCGTGTTTAAATTATGTCATGTCCAAAAACGTAAAAACAGTTCATTAGTTGTAGAATTCAAGTCTTTGTAAACTATCCATATTGATATTACAAGGGACAAAAGTGGGTGAATTAGGGTACAAGCCTGATACACCCAATACCCACCTATTTTTTTAATTCAATTATTTTAATTAATTTGCACAGTGCTCCATAAGTACTCCATCTGAACTTCTGAATTTTTCCCATGTATTTGCCCATAAAATGTAGTGTTGTTAATAATTTATTTATTGTAATTACTCGTAAATTGTAGTAAGCATGCTACTAGTTTATTACTATTGTTTAGTGGATAAAACAAAAAGAGAAAATAGTTGTTTTGCAATGTCCATTTATAACCTTTTTGCAGTTGAAAAGGCAGTAATCTTTTCAAAGTTTGCAGGGATAAAAGGCAAAAAAAGCTAGATTAAGAAAAGTTTACATATACCTTAGACAAACCAAAACAGGAACTTTGACATTTATAGACACATGGGTTACAAATTCAAGTAGGAATATGGTAAAATGGAGAGAAGAAGAAATGGATAGGAGTGGGATCCGATAATTATTGCAAAAAGAGAATTGGGATAGTTTTACTGAAAGTGTAATATTTCTTGGTGTTTCATAGGATTTAGGACTAAGGTTTGTAAATTTTCATGTGCTAACCATGTTATATGAACAAATTCCAACTCTAATTTACATCAATTTGGAGGATTATTAACCTAAGAGTCACATATTATTCTTACTGATATAGCTCTTTACGTCGCTATTAGTTCATTGTCTTAACTTCAATTTCAAGTCTTATAACCTCCTTAAAAGGACCGGATAACCAAAGATGTTCCATCTGCATTGGACCATGAAGTGGCAGCAGTTGGATATGGATCCACAAAGGGGACAGACTATGTCATTGTCAAGAACTCTTGGGGTCCCAAATGGGGAGAGAAGGGTTTCATCAGGATGAAGAGAAACACCGGCAAGCCTGCAGGAATCTGTGGCATCAACAAAATGGCTTCTTTCCCTATCGAAAAGAAGTGAAAATTTGTTCTACTTTCTTGAATGTTGTTTTGTTTGTAATGTAAAGCATTTTGTTGTCTTTGATTAATCATGTACCAATACAATGTGCTCATTTAATGTGGCGTTTTTAACAAATCATTGCTTTCTTTATTTCTTGAAGATTCAACAAAGCATTTTGAGAATTGCCCGTAGCAGAAAAGGAATTGACAACCACAAAATGGGACATGATAATAGGACATCATAGAATTGCAGTAAAATTCAGACTTTGGTTGAAGATAGATAATTTTGAAAATTGTTCCTAGATTTAATTCCTAGCTCTACATCCAGTGATCAATAGCAGCACACTACAAGAGCTGAAATAGAACAAGAAAATCAACTATGTCCTACGCTTAAAACAAACAAGAAAGCTAAATTAACAAGACAGAAAATGCAGAATACCTAGCATCAGCAAACTAGCACTTCTCACCACTACATGTTCAAAGCAAAAAGTGCCTCTGGTTCTTATTTCTGCACAGTGAGGTCATATACAGCAAAACAAAGGGGGAATAATGTCTATTGAAACATATATCTCAAATAAGAAAAGAATTTGCAGAAAATAAAAAGCTTGAAACAAAACCTAAAGAAGCAACATCAGAAAACCTAGAACCAACATCAGAAAATCAAAAGCTTGAAACAAAGAAAGAAAAATCCAAAGAGAAAGCAACCAAAAACAAAAAAAATATCGGCTAACAGAGAAAAAGGTATAAGTATTTACCTGCAAATCCGGGATTTGGGGAAGGAGTGCGGGAGAAGTGCCGGAGCAGCACCGGCGAAACGCCGGAAAGACCGACGGAACTGTCCTTGGGGTTTTGGGCTTTGGGAACTCTAGGGTTTGATGATTATGGTGGTCTAATGAAGAGGTATAAGTTGAAACTCGGCCATTAATCTTAGATGAAAAAGAAAAGAGATCAGAGAGGCGCGATTTTGGGTTGTATCGACGAGGGAGATCCGGTGATCGATGAGGGAGTTTGGATATTGGGGAGCTATGTTTGGGACTTTGGGTGTATGGATATTGGGGAGCTAATTTTTAATTATTGTTAAAAATTAAAAAAATAAAAATATGACAGGTCACTAATTAGCTTGGCGGGCCACTAAAAATTTCAGCGGAAAAACGAGGGAATTGAATACCTGTTCCCATAGCAATTTTTTCCCAAAACCGTTGTTATATACATGTCTATTGGGACGGTTAACAAAACCATTGCGACACAAAACTCTATGGACACGGTTTTTGTTATATTTGCAACGGTTTGATGTCTAAATTGTGCTGGTACCTCCCAAATTCTATTGTAACGGTTTGAACTGTTACTATATCACCTCTATGACAACGGTTTGTGAACTATTACCAAAAAAAGTATTCCCATAGGCCCATTTTCAGGTAGTGTCGCAATATATAAAGAGTCAAGAAATGAACAGCATATGAAATTATATCCCTTGGTGTCTAGTTTTCAGAACATCAAACCATTTGTCATTTGGAGTTGTGTGCAAAAAGTTATGACCATTACACTGGAGGCTGTCCGGAAGAGCTGGAAACTTGTTCTTCGCGATCGCGAAGCACTGTCCGCGATCGTGAAGGGCAAATTTTGGGCTGAGAAAAGTTGTGCTTCGCGATCGCAAAGCATTTTCCGCGATCGCGATGAATATATACCTGGGCAGAATGTTTTAAAGACCTGTTCCGCGACTTTGAACCCTTTTTACACTATTTTTGAACGGGAAAAGAGCTTGGAGGCGATTTTGAAGAGAGAAAATCATTGTTCTTCATTGAGGTAAGGATTTTGGACCCTAAAACTTGATTATTTGTGATTAAGGAACGAAAATATCAGTGTAAATTCATGAAAATCAGTAGAAAAAGGTGGAGTTAGGGCTTGAGATTATGAGAGCTTTCAGGGATGATTTGAGGGGCCAAACGAACTCCGATTTTTGAGTTCTTTATATGTACGGACTCGTGAGATGATGAAGAAAATTTTGGTATAAAGTTTTTGCAGTTCCGGGACACGGTTGATAAACCGTCCCCACAGACTGCAAAATTGGTCTATGGTAACGGTTGAGAAACCGTCCCCACAGACTGCCAAACCGTTGCCATAGGTATATTGGAACGGTTTAAAGACCGTTACATCAGCCGGCGTAACCATAGGTCTATTGGAACGGTTCTTGCAACGGTTTGCATTGCCGTGACAATAGATGCGTCTATCGCAACGGTTTTGCCTTTCTCTGTTGGAACGGTTATTTTCATCAATTGGAACGGTTCAAAACCGTTACTGAATTGTTTTTTTTTTGACGAAAATTTGCTTTTATTTTATCAAAAAAAGTCATTACATACCCAGATTAACGCTGACCATTAATCTCTAATAGCTATTACAAAGTATATCTATCTATGCATGTACTATTTTTTAAACTAGTATACTAAGGCATTTTATTTACAAATTCTAATCCTTGTTTCCACTTGATTTTCTTCCTTCCTTGTATGTGTATATGCATTTCCACTTCCTTACACACTTCATCAATGTTGTATCTTCCTTTGTTGAATCGCATTGAGTTCCTTTCACGCCATATGCAGTACACAACCATTGCAAAAGCTGCTATGGTCATTTCTGCCATATACTCTTTCTTCTTTGCCATGTTATTAATCCATATCAATTCATGGTTCCAATCCCCTATCAGTCTCGTATGCCCCAGCCATTTCAGTATCCTTTCCCACAGCTTTTTGGTACTGTGACAGCCAAAATAGAGGTGTTCAAAAGTTTCCTCAGCTTTTCCACAAAAAATACACTCTGTTTGCATTTGGATACCAAATTTAGTAAGTCTATCCACAGTGGCTATCCTTTGATTAATAGCCAGCCATAAATGAAACTTGAACCTTGGATGTATCTGAGAGTGCATGTGGATACTCTTCCATTCAACTTTACTGAATTGAGGTTGCATCTGGATATATGCCTTTGTGAATCTGGAATTTACCTTGCTTCACAAAGTTCCCCAGAATGATTGTAATCCTCTGTTGATCTGTCCTCATCTGCATAACTTCATCTTTTGCATCAATGATCTTCCTGACCACCCATGCTGCTGCTTTGGGTGTGTGAATATCTTCAATCTGTTTTCTCTTTATGTAATAGGTGTGAGCCCACCTAATCCATAGTGTATCCTTCTTCATAGCCAGCGCCCATAGGTGTTTTAACACTGCTGTCTTGTTCCATATCCTCATATTTATCACATTCAATCCACCTGCTGATTTAGGTTGGCATATTTTATCCCATGCAATCAATGCTTTCCTGGAGAATTCATTTGAACCAGTCCACAAAAAAGTCCTGCATACAGTCTCTATCATCTTCATAATCTTCTTTGGGATTAAGAATATTTGAGCCCAATATGTTTGTACACCAAATAGGACTGATTTGATAAGTTGAACTCTTCCTGAATATGAGAGCATCCTTGCTGACCACCATCTGACTCTCTCTGTTATCTTCTCTACTAATGGCAGGCATTGGTGTATGTTTAGCTTCCTCGCAGACAATGGAACTCCCAGGTATTTGAATGGTATACTGCCCTTTGCATATCCAGTAAGATTGATCAGCTCTTCTTTGATATGCTGTGATACCCCTGCAATATAGATTGAGCTCTTTTCTGCACTTCCTTGCAATCCTGATGCATTTGAGAACTTATTGAAAGTGTTCTGCAAGGCATTAACTGATTGTTTGTCACCCCTGCAAAACATTAAAAGATCATCAGCAAAGCAAATGTGTGTCACTCCCAGCTTCTTGCATTTTGGATGGTATCTAAATTCCTTCTGCATAGCTAATGTGCTCATCTCCCTTTGCAAATACTCCATAGCAATCACAAATAGATAAGGAGACATTGGATATCCTTGTCTGATACCTCTCTTAGCAGGGAAGGGTTTAGTGAGTCCTCCATTCAGAGTTAAGGATTAAGATACTATTGTCACACACTCCATTATCCACCCAAAAAATTTCTGTGGAAATCCAAGATCTGTGAGCATATACCTTAAGAATTGCCAACCCAATGAATCATAAGCCTTTTTTAAATCAACCTTAAGAGTACATCTTGGTGATAGACCTTTCCTGTTGTAACCATTAAACAGCTCATGGCTAATCAGAATATTATCCACTATACTCCTCCCTTCTATGAATGCAGATTGTGCTTTCCCAATTAAGAACTCAATTACCTTCTTAATCCTTTTAGTCATTGTTTTTGCAATGATTTTGTAGACTGTAGTGCAGCAGGCAATAGGTCTGTAGTCCTTAACAGTTGTTGGATTTTTTCCTTTGGGAATCAATTTTATTGTTGTACAATTCCATGCTTTCTTCATCTTACTTGTTTGGAAGAAGAACCTCACAGCTTCATAGACCTCTTGTTTCACTTCATTCCAGTGCATTTTAAAGAACTCTACTGGAAAACCATCCACTCCAGGTGCTTTGTCTTTTGGCATGTCTTTTACTGCTTCATCAACTTCTTCATAAGTGACTTCCTGAATTAACTCTTGTTGCTGTTGCAATGATAGGCACACACTTGCTCTAATAATCTTTGTATTAGGACATGGTTTGATCCCAGTATCAGTCCCCATTAGTTGCTCAAAAAAAGTAACAAATTCTCTTTCCACTTCTTTTGGTTCTGTGACTCTAAATCCCCCTGCATTATAAACAAAAGTTATTGCATTCCTGCTGGCTCTCATCTTCAGTTGGGCATAAAAATATTTTGAATTTGAATCTCCATAATCTATCCAGTTCACTCTTGACTTTTGCCTTAGGATTCTTTCCTCTATTGTACTCCATTTCTCTATGTCTTGAAGTATCTGCTTTTCCTTCTCTATCATTTCTTGATTTAAAGGACTGATTTTCAGATTATTCCGCACATACTCTAGCTGCTGCCTGCTGTGGTTCAATCTTTTCTCATAATTTGCCATATCCTTGTTCAGTCCCTTAGTTACATTCTTCAATTGTTGTAATTTCTTCCATATACTATCCATAGGATCA